CTCAAGGGGTCTGAAATGTTTTCTATTGGGCATCGTACCAACTACAAAGTTTAGCTAGCCTTCAAATGGCGCCTTTGTGTAATGCTTATCTCAATCCCACCTTTTGCTGAGCTAATAGTTGATAAAATAGTTGCTTTATTCACTGATTAATCAAGCAATTAATCAGCTCTCAGCCTCCAGTTTCTGTCAGCTTAGCCGGAAAAGTCATCACCCAATTGTGGTTTTGGCCACGTCGCTGCGACAGCATGGAAACCACTCGGTGTGATGTTGGTCACTTTATGACGAACAAACGCATTCTGTATGTTCGTCTGTTTGTCCCAGAGAGTCCCTTGAAGAATGAACCAACGAACCAATGAACGAGTGGTTGAATGAATGAATGTATGAATGAATGAATGAACAAATGAATGAACATGTGAAGTAGAGAAGAGAGGGCGATAAAGTGTGTCTTGTGTTCGTGTTTTTTGCTTGTGCGTCCACCAGTGGTGCTTATCGGACGGTGCAGGTTTCAGCCGAGAGCCTCTGGGCCTAACTCGGCATCGCAACCATTCTTTGTGTGACTGCCTCTCTGCGTTGTTTTGATTGCAACCATATTCCTCTGTATGGTCCTTTCTGATTGCTGATCGATAAATGCTACGATCTGTCGTTTCCACCTCTCCATTGTGCCCACGTACTGAATAGGCCGTAGAAATGCCCATACCATCAGAAAGTGTACAGGTAGATCTGTGAGGGAAAGGTAGAGAGTGAACGAGGCCGATGTGTGCTTCGTGCATGCTAATGTCTTTATATTTGGGTGTGTATCTAAATCGTTGTGTGTATTTGCACAGGTGTACTTATAGGCCTGTATGTGCTTGTTTGTGCAGGATTATGGCATGTGTGTTCGTGTTTGTGTGCAAAGCCTGTTTCACGGTACGTGCGTGTATGTATGTGTGTGTGTGTGTGTGTGTGTGTGTTCCTCTATCCACAACCCGGTCATTTCTGTTTTCAGTCTTCACTTTCACTGGCTTGACCCGTTTCCTGAAAGTGAATAATGTGGCCTCCTTTTCAATTTGTGGCTTCTAGTCATTGGGCCTGGGCAGATTCCTGCTGACCAGGGGAATCTGATCCACCGACTTCCACTTGGTCCTGCTTTCGCAGGATCCGCTTGGGTTCGCCCGGTTCTGTCAGAGCGCACAGTTCGGATGTGTCCT